TCGGAGACTTAATCCTAATATACCTCAAAACGATACATTCTTGTTACCACTAGATGTATTGTTCGCTACGGATCATTTGATTGGAATGAAATTTGAAATGGGTATACTTGACTATGACAATATGAATCACTTGAAAAATAAAGCGTACTCATTCGGTTGCAGATATGTTACAAGATCAAATCGGATTGGCTCTTGGTCATTTACAACATGCAGTTCAAAAAACTATTCGTAGGGTATTCATACGTCAATCGAAACAGACTAGAGGTTTCTGTACTAGTGGCCTGTCCGGTAAATATGGAAGGGCCGAGAAGGAATCATTCAGAGAAGAGACACCGGGCACAGGCAGCGCGCTGGAGTAGATCTCCATCTCCACCTGTACCACGCAGGTTTCTTTGCTCCTCCTCCCTTTCCTCGTCGGCCATTAGCCTACTCTGCTCGCTCAGACATGGCCTGCTCCTCAGCGTGTATGAATGAAGAAGCCGACGATGGTCAGCGGTGATTGTCATAAAAGACATCAAACCGCTCCCTGAAACTTGCTACTGTATTTGTGATCGTCGTACAAGACATAACTGCTTCTAAGCGCACTGAGTAAATGGCTTACATGTGCGAGCTAGCTTCTCATTCTGTTTCTTCTGGCGACGCTAGAAAAAATGTGTCCCTCTGTTAATTCCACTGAATTGTCCATGTACATGCAAAGCAAGATCTTGCTAACACAAAGCGCAACTCGCACTCGGCCAAACTGAAGCACAGATCCAATGTTGAATTCCGAAAATTACAGCCCGAGTAAACATGGGTAGAAATTTTGTTCCCAAATACAGTATCACTGCGTGTCTTCGTAGATCCATTATTCAAACACGTTGATGGCGGCTAGAACACAAAATACCAAATGCCTATCATGGCCGTTGGTTAGCGGTGACACGCCAGAGCAGCACACCGCGCCTTACTGGATCTTCTGTTTGAGCTACGCTTTGGCATCCTGATGTCTCCTATTCTCAAGTTCACTACATTTCTAAATGTGCATACATATGCATCTACTATTTTGCTACTTGCTAGCTAGCCAGCACTACCTTCGTCTGTTTCTCTAGCTTGTTTCTGCTAACAAGTCACAAGTTTTTATAGGAGACAAGACTAGTGAAACACTTGAAACAAAGAGCGAGCTTTCTCCATCAATCGCAAAGATCCAAAAATTGATTGGCATGTCCTATACATTGTGGTCGATCGAGAACCTTTATCTACATTGAAATCGTTCTATGAAATATTATTTTCTAGAAGGTACTCATGAATAAATGATTGTCCACATAGACGCCTTCTCATTCATATACGATGCTTTTGCGCAGTCCTTTAGCGGTCATTTTAAAATTCGGTACATGGTTTACATATTCATCCAAATTCTCGGTCGGAAAAGTTGAGCGCCCGCCCCGCTCTCGTCCACGATGAAGATCGCGTCGCCAGTCGCCACTGTCCGGGGACGCCGCGGCAGGACCTTTCAATCCAGCGAGCATGCCAGGCGGCATGTCCTCCCACGAGGTCGAACACGACGTCCTCCTTGGCGCAGCTGCCGTGTACGTTGACTATGCAGACCTTCCACCCGAGCAGACGGCATCCGCGGCGTCCCGGCTGAACCACCTGTCCCGCAATGGCGGGAGCGGCTCCCACGGCGCGGACGGCGTGGCGGGTCCCATATCGCCCCGACGCTAGCGCCCAAGCCTCTCGCGACGAACAGGCAGCCGCGCGCTGCGCCGACCATGCACCACCAGCGCGGGGTGAGCGGGATCGCGGGCCGACCAACCAGCGCGGCACGGGCGCGGAGGCCGGGTCAAACATGAGTGGGCTGCAAAGCGCCGGATAGAGCGGCTAAGTGAACCCCACGATGAGGATGAGCCGCCCTGCCGCGGCCACGGATTGGAGCGGCAGCTGGCCGGAGAGGAACAACTGGTGGTAGAGTGTCGGGGGCGGCAACAAGATCGACGGCGCTGGCAGCCTGTCCCACCGCGCGGCAATCGGATCGTAGACCGTGAAGGATCGTAGACCGTGATGCTTCCATAGTTCATGCGCTAACTAGCACTCGGATGGAAAAGCAATGTATGGTACATGTATATGTCATCATGGGTAGATAGGTGATCAAATAAATCTCCTTGCTAAAAAAAGACTAGTACGAATTTATTCAAACATTAGTTGGGTACTTTATAACTTTTGGAACATTAGACAACAAAAATAGCTAATCATTGTAGGCATAAAATTCCCATCTACTTGTCTTATTAAGAACTTTTGGCATATTAGGCCACATGCGCGACCATATTGACAAAAAAAGGCCACCCCTGAACATAAGTAACAAAACTACCAAGGCATTAGGCCCGACAGCGGACACATGGCACCTGACGCCACAGCTGGAGGTGGCAGAGCCTTCCGTCGTAGCCCGTGGCAGCATGTTGAGCAGAACGGCTCCCAACTCTGTGGGAAACAAAAAACAGAAGAGGTGGACCCTGCCACCGCAAAGTTGTGGTGGCACCCTATGACGTGGATCCTACCGCCATGCACCATGGCGGCAATACTGTTGCTACTGCTCAGGACTGGACAGCGCGCTGGCATGGTTGGCGTCGCCTTTTGTGCCGAATGTACTCCGGCCAACAACATGGATTGGTTCCCAGGCGACGCTGATTCCCATGTACATCGAATCTCTCTTCATCATTCCTGCTTATTTTTCCGCCATCGCACTCATTATCTGAGCCTATAAAATAAGCCATCGGACATCTATTCATCCTCTATCGAGCAACCTTCCTTAGCCATTTTCCGTTCATGTCTGGTGACCCTTCCTGTTGTTTTACTCCAACAATGTCTCATTTGCTTTTGTCAGGCACACCAAGAATGCAGTGTGCTAGTACGGGAAGTGTGCGTTTTGGAGAACTAGATAACACTTCACGTGTTGCTAAATAAAACTAGAATATATGAAAGTATTACCATACCACATTCAGCCTAGAGGTAAATGAAGGGTGGATACATGCATTCAAATTCAATTATTTATTATTGAGAAAAAAAATCAATAATGTGGAGCATATTCGTGTGCTTGATGATGTGGAGGATTTGCATGTGATGGAAAGTGAAAAATGAAAAGTTGAATGGTTGCATGGTGCTTGATGATGTGAAGGGTGTGTGTGTTGTGGCAAGTGGAAAGTTAAATCTTTATTGGTTGCATGCACTTGATGATGTGTATGACTTGCATGTATATTTAAAAGGAGGATGGTATATGTGGGACATATGTGATTAGGTGTACAGGCTGCTTGATAAGATAAACAAGATAGTGGGGATGAACTTCTCATGTATATAGGATTAGTTAGTAGTGATAGACAACTGACGTGGTTAGGTAAGTGTTTTTCCAAGACTAGTCTCTTGGAGAAGCTCCCGGAAAGGAACCCAGAGGAAACTCGACAAGAACTTTTGCGGTTGCCGGGAAGGTGGGACAGAATTGTTGAACTCAAATATATGCATGTGCGCATTACTGGGTTACCTTTTCTTCCTCGCCATCAAAAATAACTTTTTGGCAAAAGCAATATGAGGACCACATTAAGGTAATTGATATTTAAAAATGCACCCAGTTAGACCATATGTTCCTCATTCTAATTTTGTATTATTTATTTATAATCTGTAGAGATACCCTAAAGACACAAAATTTTTGAACAAGGAGATCTTCAACTTTGGGTGGATGAACCTCATTGGGGCCCTATACCTAAGGGAGAATACCATGGAAAAGTTTTGCATCAGTGAGGGGTGGTGCGAGCTCGAAGAACGTGAGCAAGAACGTCGGTGACTTTATGCCGAGGAAACGAGCTCAAAACATATCCAAGTGTCATGTTGCATTTGCGAAGGTGACGCTAGCTATAAGCAAGTGAAGGGCGACGATGATGACTTTATGCCATAAAAAATGAGCCCAGAAGAAATTCAAGGGTTGTGCAAACTTGAAAAGTAGTAGGTTAGGTGAGAGTGATGCATATGTCGACCACCCCGAAGATATACACAGGTACATGAGTATTATGGCCATAGTTGCCAGAAAGGATCGTCGGGTAGCTGATGATACCAGCAGTGACGGAATCGGAGGCTGGAGCCCGAGCATCCAAGGCATGTGTCGCAATGGCTGGGAGACCTTGCGAAACACTCCACCGACCGGGCATTAAATGTCTGCCCAGGCTATCCCTCGTAGCCCGCCACAGGCCTATGAAGATAGGCCATCATGACGAATACCAAGGCAAGCATCCTGAGCCATTTAGGGCAGTGTCTCATCGGTCAGACTGATGTGACCCGACCTTGGCTCGTACTTTGAACCAAAGAAGGACGGTGTGACGCATCGCATCAAGCAGAAGTATTCGAGCACCTAACACTCAACAATGTCAACTCATCCACTAACAATGATAACAAGTTGCACACAACGCCTACAACTTTGCATACTCGAAGAGTTTGGCAGGCCGCCTGTGCGGTTGTGGGGTTTCATGCCATGTGAGTAGTTCGTCTGTGATCTATTTGTAATGGTTTTTCTCAAAAAAAATCTATTTGTAATGGTTTTCGTCCGCGGGTTTTCATGATTGACTCGGCAATTCTCTTGTTCCTAATTAATCGATTAGGCAAAAATTTCGCCTCCGTTTCATTTTATTTGTCATGAAGAACAAATGTTGAACAAATTATGAATTGGATTTTTGTAGTTTGGTAGACGCATCATGTATCAATATATTGTCAAGATAACATTCGAAGTTATTTGGGTTTCTTTTTTGAAGTTAATATATGGGTTCTGATGGACGCTGCTTTGCCATAGGCAACGAGTGGATGGAAATGGGCCGTTGGATGTTGTTTGGATGGTAACTGACCCGCACACCAGCCAAGTTGAGTTCATGTGACCATCCCTGTCCGTCCACCACACCACCGGAGACAGACACGCCGCACCCAACGCAACTCGAATTCCCCACCGCCCGCCGCCGCCGCCGCCGTCGCCGCTGCTCCGCCGTCGCAGCGCCATGCTCCACCTCCGGAAGCGCGTCCTCTCTCATCTCCTCTCAGCCGCGCCCTCTCCTTCCACCTCCCCACTCCTCTCTCTCCACCGCCTCCTCTCCGCGGCCGCGGCTGCCATTTCTCCGAACCCTAGCTTCGCTGTCGAGGGCTACCTCGTCGACGCCTGCGGCCTCACCCGTGCCCAGGCACTCAAGGCCTCCGCCAAGCTCTCGCACCTCAAGTCCCCCGCCAACCCCGACGCCGTCCTCGCCTTCCTCGCCGGCCTCGGCCTCTCCGGCGCCGATGTGGCGGCCCTCGTCGCCAGGGACCCGCGGTTCCTCTGCGCCGGCGTGGAGATAACCCTGGCCCCCGTGGTCGCTGGGCTCACCGGCCTCGGCCTGTCAAATGCCGAGACTGCGCGCCTCGTCTCGCTTGCCCCCGACAAATTCCGCCAGAGATCCGTCGTCTCCAAGCTGGAGTACTACCTGCCGCTCTTGGGCTCCATCGACAACTTGCTCCGGCCGCTCAAACACGGCTCCGGCTTCCTCGCCTCCGACCTCGACAGGGATGTCAAGCCCAATGTGAAGCTCCTAGCAGAGTGCGGGCTAGGTGCTTGTGATATTGCCAAGCTGTTCATCCAAATACCGACGATCATCACCGCCAGCCCAGAGCGCGTCCTGGAGATGGTCGCGTCCGCTGAACGTATAGGTGTGCCCCGTGGCTCTGGGATGTTTAGGCAGGCGCTGCATGCTGTCGCATATCTCAGCGAGGAGGAGATTGCCGCCAAAGTAGAACAGTTGAAGAAGATATTAAGGTGGTCAGATGCCGAGGTTCGCATTGCTGTGCCCAAGTTCCCGGCTGTGCTGAGGCGGTCAAAGGACATGCTGCAGCTCAAGTCCGAGTTCCTCTTCTCTAAGGTGGGGTTGGAACCGGTGCGCATTGCTCACCGGCCCGTAATGCTCAGTCTTAGCCTGGAGGGCCGGCTCAAGCCCCGGTACTATGTTATGAGGTTTCTTAAGGAAAACGGGTTGCTAAATCATGACAGAGACTACTATAATATGGTGGTGGCCAGCGAGAAGGTATTTGTGGAGAAGTTCATATGCCCTCACGAGCAAGCTGCACCACACATTGCTGAAGACTATGCAACCGCTTGCACAGGGGAGGTGCCTGCTAGATTCAGATTTACATGAACCAAGAACAGGCTATGAAAATTGGTAGCTGCGTGTGCAACAACAGAATTTCCACTCATCGTATTAAGCTGGTAATTCATGATTAGGTGTTCTTTTCATGACTGAATTTTGGTTTTGTTGTGGCCAATTCTTGACATAACTGATAACTTGATTTCTGAACCCCAATATGTTGATAACTAAGAGAGTGTGACATCAGGGCATTCTGCAAATGCTTTCAAGTATTAATGAAGAGTATGTCTGCACACTGTATATCTTTATGTTCTCAGTGGCAATTGCAGCTTTCAGTGCAATCCTGAATCAATTTATTTTTCCATGAAAAAGGGTTCTCAATATGGCCATGAATATGATAAGAAGTCCCAAAATTTGTTTAACTTTTTTTGCGGGAATAATTCTGGAGTTGTTGATGGCCACAACATGTTGATCACTGCTGAGGGTGCAGTTTTGATAGTCTGTTGGTTGCTTCCTGTAGTTCTTCAACTTAGCTGAATGTCTTCATTCTTCATGCAGTAGCTTTGTTTATAAAATATTAACTGTTGTGAAAGCAGGTCATTGTTTTCTACTCCCATCCGTTTCTAAATATTTTTCTTTCTAGAGATTTCAACAAGTGACTACATACGAAGCAAAATTAGTGAATCTACACTCTAAAATATCTCTATATACATCCGTATGTGGTAGTCCATTTGAAATCTCTAAAAAGACAAATATTTATAAATGGAGGGAGTAGTACTTTGTATCGGTTTTGTCCTTTATTTTTCTCTTATATTCTTGGATGGCTTACTGGCTGATGATGCTTTTTTCTGGGAGCATTTGATGCCAAAACTGAATAATAGTTGGACAACAATGGGACGGAGGGAGTAATAGTTAGACAATGATATTCTTAAATTTGTTAACTCGTTGTTGCGAACAATTTAATTATTTTATCTAATATATCTGATTATGCTTCTAAGCTAGATACCCAAATTTTCCGGACCCATGCACAGTTTTTGTTGGCTGGGAGTAGTTCTATTTTCGTGCTATCTCTGCCATGTAATGTCAAGCATGGCCTTATGAATTGTTTCTGTTATGAATAGTTTTTGTTGGCCATCCGCACATAATATTCAGACAGGCTCCATAAGTATGTATTTCGTTCTGGTATCCATTGTGCATTATCTTCAGGATCACTGCATGATAAATGTATACTTCCATAAGTAATTTTCGCTCAGAGCTAGTGATATCTCTGTGCGTTTGTACGTTTGTTAGCTAATGCCTTTGGTTGAAATGGTTTTTCAACCAAAAACTGTATTGGAGGCCCAAATAGTACCTGAGTCTGTTTTACAGGTAACCAAAGTATCTACCTGGAAGTTATATCCATGAACCTTGGAGCAAATTGTATGAACGTCCATTGTCAAATTGATTTCCCCATAGCGTTCGTCCAAACTATGCTGCATGGTGATGGGTAGGTTGGTGGTTGGGTCTGTCCTATAGCGTTCGTCCAAACTATGCTGCATGGTGATGGGTAGGTTGGTGGTTGGTGACAGTTTCCTTGTTTGATTGTGATGTTAGCAGGGCCTGTTGATAGTTGACCGACGCCAATTCAGTGAATGTCAGGGCTTCAGCTGAGTTATTGACCGACGCCAACTCTGTTACAGTACGACCTGCTCATGGTATGAAGAGCGCTTCATTGATGGTTTGTAGTTTCCTCCTATGTACCAGATCAGATTTTGTTGATAAACCTGATTTTCCTGAGCTTATAATCCTGATTCTGATTCCTCAAAAAAAAAAAAGTCCTGACTCTGTCAAGCGAAGCATGTCTTATTGTGTTTTGGGTTTGCCTCACCCTCACACTATTTGAAATATTTCTTTTTCTTAAGTTTTACAAATGTATTTTCTGGCGAGCGAGCGGCAACAGAGGTAGTGAATTGTGCTCTCAAAATGAAATCTGCAATGGTCAGCTGTTATGTAGAAATCCTTGTATGGGTGGTTGATGGTCCGTTGAGGACGTCCATTTCATTTCCTTTTGTCATTGTTGTCCTACCCATTGCCTGTTTTTTAGTAGTAAATACTCCCTCCGTCTCAAAATAAGTGACTCAACTTTGTACTAACTTTAGTAGTTGAGTCACTTATTTTGAGACGGAGGGAGTAAAATATTTCAACTTGAAAGATATTTTTTTCGTCGAGAAAAAATGAATGATATTATTTTGCTTAATTTTCAGAAAATACAATCAATCATGTCCTGTTTACATGTCAGTATTGGGCCTGGAATTGCAAAATTGGACTTGTGGTTCCATTCATAGGCTAATTCCATGTGGTATTGTGATAACCTCTATTCATTTTCTTCTATGGTTTTCTCCGTTTTACTTCTACAATTTTGTTTTCATATCCGGAACGCTGGCGGCCGCGCCACAATCTGGAACAGTACTGACTGCAAGGAGGACATGTACAGTGGTTGCTAAGAGCATCTTCAATAGCTGCCCTAAGATAGGGTACTGGAAAAACTGTTTAAGGCAACAATTTTTTCTTCTTCCCCACAGCAGCCTTAAAAAAGGGCACCAATACTCCAACAACTGCCCTGAAATGGGGCACACAAAACAACCAAACTAACTTGATGTTGCAAATTCGATCCAAACATTCAAAGTTTTAAACATGTAAACTTAACATAGTTTGGCTACAAACCTAAACTTAAACTACGCAATCTTAGTGAAATGCCGTTACCCTTGTTGGGCTGAACCTCGTCACCCGACTCGACCTTGATCACCCTTGACGAGGGGCCAACCTCGTCTTCCTCCACCGCTTTCTTCACCACCTTGTTGCGTTGGGCACAGGACTTTAACTCCACTTGTTGAGGTCCGGATTTTCTCTGGCGAACCTCGCCATAGCTAACTCATTGCTCTCACGTATGTCGTGTTGCCCTAGGATGACTGGGACACAATCTCCACTTCGGGACCGATGAACACCTCCACCTTCGGGATTCAAGCCAATTCTACTACTCGTCGCATGTCACCTCGGCGACGTAGCGGCTGGATTGCTGCAGCCGAACGCAACGAAAGTCGTCTTTCTCTTTCGCTCAGGGCGCGGCGACATCGTCGGCGATGGGGGCGGCTACCGGTTCATGTGAGGTGGTGGGGTGGTAGGACGGTATCCGGTGGATCCGACGACGAAAGTGCGCTAGTGGTGGATTCGACTGCATTTGTTAGCAGTGGAAGCACGAGAAGGTAGGGGGCTGATGGGGGTTGAGGCGGTAGTGGTGACCAAAGGAATAGAGGGGGCAGTCGATCTGGCGGCAGGGCGGGCGATAGTGGTTGCGGTGGCCGTAAGCAGCCGGATTCTGTGGTGGCGGTGTGATCCGAGCGGCAGCGACCTACCATGCACTACTCTTCCTCGCTGTCCGCGATGCCCACGGACATGTCGACTTCGTGGTCGTGGCGGCGGAGCGCGGCCTGGCAGAGGCGGAGCTGGCAATGTCCTCCTTGCCGTCGCTCTTGCCGAACACCTCATCTGTCGCCTCGTCCATCTTCATGTACACGGCTTGTAACTCCGCCTAACGTTGGCGGTACCGCCAACGGTTGTGGCGGATCTCGCGGGCTAACCGGTCGGACTCGAGCAACATTTCCTCCTCGGGTACGTCCACATCCGGCATGATGGAGGTGCCAATGGTGAGCAGTACCTCATCGAGGAGATGGAGGTTGTAGCAGGCTTGGTCGGCATGCGTCTACCAGAACTTGGCCCCCGGCCCCACTCTTCCCGTCAGGGGCGTAGCTAGGCCCCGGGCTGCCCAGGCCATGGCCGGGGGCGTGGAAGGAAAATACTTTGTATACTGTAGCTACAGTAGCGTGTTTAGCTACAATAATTACTGTTCCTTACTGTTCCTGTATGTCCCTGTAGTGGGCACGAGCCTCACCGATGGTGATGTTGGCATGCACCGGCGAAGAGGGTGGCGCTGGCTCGTCCTCGGCTGCGCCCTCCATTGGGACGTCGTTGGCCTCCGTCTACCTGCCGGCAAAATTGCCGCCATCTCCCTCTTCTGCTCGGACGAGAGGTTGCCCCAGAGGGCTTTGGAGCGTGAGGAGAAAGGAACTAGAGGAGGATGACCGTGGCTATGGCCGGGGTTGGAGTTTATATAGCGTGCATATGGCAATGGGCCGCGACAGTCTGGTTAATGCTGGGCGACAGATGGACGGATGGGTGGCGCCGGAGTAGGTTCCTCGGCAACGACATATCATTAATGTAGGGAGACGGATCGAAGACATGCCGTTTGAACGCGGAGCAGTCGCCTGCACTGGGAAGCGACGCGGGCGGCGCTCTCTTGGCCAACGCGCTACTTCAATGCCGGCAGAAGTGAGAGGTCGCGTTTGCTCTGGCCAGGCATGAATGCGACATTGACGCTCTGGCGCGGCGCTGAACGTTTTGGGCAGGAAGCGCGCACGGGCGAGGGAGGCCATTCTTGTCATGACTTCCTGCATGATGGGCTTTGTATCATCGTAGCAGGATCCTATGTCGGCGTCATCCATGGTGGCGACGGCGGCCTGCAGCCTCTCGAAGTTGTTGAAGAGGCGGTTGGCTATGCCGAGTAGCGATGGCCTGGCATCCGGGTCAGCGGCGGTGATGAGCTTGTCGAAGTGTTGTGGCGGCAATTCTCCTCTTGGGGCTGGAACTCCTTCTGAAAGGACTAGAGGGTGGTGTCCATGGCGTCGCTGAAGCCTAGTGGGAGTGGCTCCATTGCAATCGGTCGATCCTTATTCCTTAGCTCATAGCTCTTTGTCAAGCACTGCTCTCGCGCTGGCGCAACCCAATGGGAGCGGCTTCTTGGCGGCGAGCATGTCGATCACGATGTCGGCCCCGCGCTGTTGTTGCTTCGCCGACGGGGGCGGGCTTGTGGCAACCAGCTTGCCGCCGCCGCATCAGTGCTGGTCGGAGGAGGTCACAGGGTCGAAGAAGGTGTCCACTGGCGACGACCGTGTTGGATGGCAAAACACGCCTGAACCGCGCGGTCCGGATATATGCGGGCGGTTTGAGTGTCGGGTTGGAGACGCTCTTAACCCGACAACTGCCTTCTTATAATACCACCGCAGAACTTCCACCCTACTCGTCGGTTTTGTGCCTCCCAAAAAATTGTCATGAATAACAAATGCTGAACAATATTATGAATTGGACTTTTGTAGTTTGGTAGACGCATCGTGTATCAGTATATATTGTCAAAATAATCTTCGAAGTTATTTGGGTTCTTGATGGACGCTGCTTGCTCTGGGTATCGTGCAGATGGAAATGAGCCGTCGGATGTCATTTGAATGGCAGGGATTGGATGGTAACTTGGCTCAGCCAAGTTCATCACACGACTCCACTAAAAGAAAAAGACTTCATCACACGACCGGAGACACACACGCCGCACTCAACACACGTCGCGGCGTCATGCTCCACCTCCGGCAGCGCCCCCTCTCCCATCTCCTCTCCGCCGCACCAGCTCCTTCCACATCCCCTCTCCTCTCTCTCCACCGCCTCCTCTCCGCCGCCGCTGCCACCCGCATTCCGCCAAACCCTAGCTTCGCCGTCGACGACTACCTCGTCGAGACTTGCGGCCTCACCCGTGCCCAGGCACTCAAGGCCTCCGCGAAGAGGAGATGGAGGGCCGGCTCACCCGTGCTCACTCGTAGCCTGGAGGGCCGGCTCAGGCCCCGGTACCATGTTATGAGGTTTCTTAAGGAAAATGGATTGACAAATCATGACAGAGACTACTATAGTATGGTGGTGGTCAGCGAGAAGGTATTTGTGGAGAAGTTCATATGCCCTCACAAGCAAGCTGCACCACACCTTGCTGAAGACTATGCAGCTGCTTGCACAGGACAGGTGCCTGCTACATTCAGATTCACATGAACCAGGAAGCAGGAAAACGGATTGCTAGAGAGCGAGTGGAACTACTATTCAGCAGCCTTGGTGACAGAAAATTTTCATGGAGAAGTTCGTATGTCCTCACAAGGAAGCTGCATGCCCCCACCTCGCTGAAGACTATGCTGCCACTTGTAGGGAAGTGCCTTCTAATTTCAGAATTACATGACCAAGAATGGGCCATGAGAACTGCGTATGGCGCAAAAATGTTTACACTATGTGTAGTGAGCTGGTAATCTCTGTCTGTGTTCATTGCCTGAGTGGATGTTGGTTGTCTGCTATAGTATGTCAGGTACATGCTAATTTGGCATCGCTAGTCCTGAATGAAACTGATAATTTTATTGTTAGTCCTTGAATGTCGATCAACCAATCTTGGTGGCTGGGGCCTTGCTATACCACACATGATTCTGAAGGCTCTGTTAATTGATGACGCTCTGAAGCTTCCTTCAGTAACAAGTACTCCTACTTTTATGACCTGACATGTGCAGGGGGTTTTACTCAGAGAAGCTCCTACTTTTCTCTATCTGAATTTTGCTAGTTTGGTAATCCTTCTCGTATTGTATGTCCATTACATCATTCAGTATAGAAGAAAGAATTACACTGCAATTAACCTGTCCATCCTGATATCATATTGTCATGCATACTGAGAACTAAGAGTGTGACATCAGGGCATTCTGCAAATGCTTTCAAATATATTAATGAAGAGTATATCTGCAGGACCTATATGTTTATGTTCTCAATTGCCATTGCAGCTTTCAATGCAATCCTGAGTCAAACTATCTTTCAATGAAAAAAGGTTATCATTTTTTGCCATGAAAGATGATATGAAGTCCCAAAATTGGTTGAACATCTTTTTTCGTGGGAACAAATCTGGAATTAACGTGTTAGTCACTGCTCAGGTTGCAGTTTTGAACTAGTCTGTTGGTTGCTTCCTCTAGTTCTTCTAAGCTGAAACTCTTCATTCTTCCTGCAGTAGCTTTGCTTATAAGACGTTAACTGTTGTGAAAGCAGGTCATTGTTTACTAGTAGTTTATATCACGTTTTTTGTTTATTTTTCTCTTATATTCTTGGATGGGCCACTGGCTGGATACTTTTTCTAGGAGCATCTGACGTCAAAACTGAATACTTCAGTAGTTGGCCAGTAGCATTTTGTTGACAGCCTACCCATGTAGCACTATGTAACAGATATTTCAAAGGCCCTTGTATTTGTACTGGAGACACAAATTGATGCTTGTATGGTATGGTGCCGAAAAACAAAGGGCATTTCATACAATATGAAGGAACTTATGTTAAGGTAATCTTAAAAAGGGTCATGTTATTACCTGAGCCAAGAGATGGTCCCAGAGATGATATCTTAACCAAGCTTGGTCTTAACATTTAAGGTAATGCAGTATTTTTTTCTCAGTTATACCGAATGTCATCTCTTCGTACACTCTTTTCAGTTAAATCTCAGTCTAGGCATGCAAGTACTATCTGTCAGTGCAGTTATAGAATCTTGCAGAATTTCAAACACAGAAATTGTAGACTTACTGGTGGTCCTCAAATTAAGAATCAAGTCATGTGAGGAGAGGATGGTGCACATATGTTTATTCCTGATATTAGGCTGTAGAAATTGGAAGAAATGAGATCTCACTGTGTGCTTGCAGTAACACAAAGGAGATGGGCACATGCTATTCTTGGCGAAGAGCTCTTATTTGAAATGAAGATCAGTTGTGTGTCTCTTCTCTAGTGCCTAGTTTAGCCTGCGGGAATTATAGAAATAAGATTAATGCAATGAAGGTGAGGGGAAGGGGTCTATTAAGGAACGAGGTGACTTTCTAGGTGAATATGAATTTGAAAAAAAAGTACTTTCAGCAAGTAAGAATTGGCTGGGCAATAAAGAGGAGCATACTGACTGATTTACTGAATGTTGTAGATGATGGTGCTTTCTTTCTTCCTGGAGAAGATGTGATGAAAGTGGATATAGACTCAATACTTCTTTCTTGTTTCCAGGAGATCAACCAAGCATGTTAGCTGGGGCTTTGCTATACCACACGTGATTCCGAAGGCTCTGTTAGTTGATGATGCCCTGCTGCTTCCTTCAGTAACAAGTATTTATAACCTGACGCATGCGGGAGTTTTATTCAGATAAGCTCCTAATTTTCTCCTTCTGAATTTTGCAAGTTATGCAATCCTTCTCGTGTGGTCCTAGAGACTCTTTGTAACCTATAGGCTATATGTAGGTTACCCTAGGTGCATGCACTGTTCCACTGTCAAAGGCAACTAAACAACCCAATGTGCTCATGCTATTATTGTCCTTTGGAGTCATCAGCAAATGTTCAGACTTCAGACTAAACTTGATACATATATAATTCCACTCGAAAAGATGAATAATTTACTCATTCCATTCAAGGAATTGCAAATCCAAAAAATGCAGTCAGTTTTTGTTTGGTGAACCATGCAGTGATTTTTTTTTTGAGAAAATCTTTGCGTTTCATTTCATTGAACAGAAAGAGAGTTTTAGCAAGTACAGTTCTCCGAGCAGGAGAGTTACAGGGAGATGGTGCAAGGAATTAGTGGACGTCCCATGTCCTTGGGAGGATCAGTCCCAGGCCGGTGGCGCCTGCCCTGACCCAGAGCGCCGCCTCATCTTTGATTCTTGCCATGAGCTGGGTGGCGGAGGGTTGCGCGCCATCAAATACGCAGGCGTTCCGTTCCTTCCAGATCATCCAGGCCGTCAAATGGATCGCCGATGCCATCCCTTTTCGCATTGGTTGAGGCGTGGCTTGCTTGGCTTGTTGCCCGCCACCAGTCCTTGAAGTAGCTGTCCTGTACCGGGTCGGGTGCCGACAGGTCAGGTGAAGCCAAGTGAAGGCATCGTGCCAGATTGAGTTGACACACTATTATGTTAGTTGTGGCCAAAATCAGGGGCGTTCCCAGCAAATGGCGTTTAATATGCCACCATATTAAGTCAAATACAGAACGGTGAACATTTGGGGATTTTTTCAGAGAGGCTAAATGGTATTAGTTATATTACAAGTATCAATACTGAACCTGATGCTTGCATGGTAAATTACTTTCAGACTTGTTTTAAGCATACTCTGGAATGGAGACTCATGCTCTGAACTTTTGTTTTGTACGTGGGAAATTTCTGGTGTTAAGGGTCTTCATTCTTACTCTAACTCTAGGCGCAGTGTTGCGGAATCGGGTACCGAAATCTGTGTGCAACAAAGCTGCTGTTCGATGCCGGTGGGAGCTATGCAACCTGTGAATATGTCTTGCCATCTTCATTCGTACAATTATGCGATGAACCAGAATTGGAGGACAGGATTGCACTCACGAGCAGGTACAAACTTACAGCATTATAATAGTTGTTTCTGTTTTACTAGATTATATAATCATGTTCTGCATTGTAGCTGAGGTTTATTTGTCCTTCGTTAATCATTAACCAACTTGTTTTGCTTATGTTTTTTAGGGTGGTTATGGAATGAATCTAGCCCCCTTTTTTTCGCGAGTAGGATGAATCTACCCCCTGTGAAACTGGTTGGAAAGATATTTATTGTGCTTGATAGATCTATGTCCTGCCATGGGTACACCGCCTGTGCCACTTCCACGGGTCTCAGTTAGTGTCAGGGAGATGATTGGGGGTCTATTCAGCACCTGGAGGCTGCAAAATTTGTAAATAGCCAATTGCTAATGAAATGGCAGAGAAACATCATCACTAATCCCATCCTTCAGTGCATTTTACAAGTGAAATGGCAGAAATATATAATGGTGTCACTTCGATTGCACGCAACCGAAAGTGTTTCTGAACCAGAATTTGGGAAGAACCCCGAAACATGTTCATGTCTTTTGTAGACGAGATGTAGCAGTTTCTTATTAGAGGATGTTTTCCGTGGAGTATATTGATAATTCCAGGGTGCGTGATCCGATAAGCTTCCCAACCATTCCGCCGAGCGAGCGGAGATTCTCAGCAAGAGAGAGACAGAAATAGACCAGAAAGCGGTGTCCATCAGACCTTGATTGCTGCTGCTGCTCAATGTGTGAACTAATAGCAGATATAGGTTACTTGAACAAAATACTAGCTACCTGGAGGTGTGCTTGTATTATATATGCACGCGCTCCATGTGAGCTAGCTAAGCTGAATAGGATATCTTATTGTGTTCTCTACCTAAAATAAGCTTATCTTTTACCCCCAAAACCATGTTAGTTGATGGAGCAAGCTAAGCTGGACAGGCTGGCTGGTTAATCAATATCTAATCATGTTCTCTGCATAAAATAAACTTACCGTTTACCTCCCAAACCATGCCATCGATTGGAACTGCCTCGTTTAATTCCTCGTGGCTCACAGCCTGACGAGGTTTGCGCCGTGATAGATTCCTCCCACTTCTTGCAGGTCAGATCAATCTCTTAAATGCATCGGATCAGATGATTTCCTCTCTTTTCTTTTGGTTCTTCTTCTTGCTTTTCTTCTTCATCTTATTTTGTTTGTATCAAGTATGCATATATATTTTTTCTTTTCTTTTGTAAGCTAGCTAATACTCCCTCCGTCCCAAATAAGACTTTATACTAACTCTAGTACAAAATTGTACTAAGGTTAAGACACTTATTTTGAGACGGGGGAGTACCATCGGATTGATCTGGTGGATCGACTCTTTAGGGGCCAGGAATTATGGTGGGTCACAGGCAATATCTTCATGATGACAGCGATTGGAGTGAGGTCAGTACTATCAACAGTTATGCCGTGTTCATGGGTTACCTATCCATGGCCATCAAGGGCTTGTGTTTCCTGGTGCTTACTTGGACCACCGTCATACTTCTCGGTGGTTTTGCCTCTATGCCACAAAAGAGGAATTTCAGTGTTTGACATTCATCACCCTTGTATCTTACTATGCTTCTTCTTTTAGCTCAACTCAGTTTTTTTTGGTTTCTGTGTACGTACGGAGCTTATTCGTACAATCAGTTATTATTAGATTTCCCGGTTGGCTTTTTATAGGTTTAAAAAGCTT